AAAAAGGCTTATGCTTTCATAGAGGTGTGGATGGGAAAAGAGAAAGGGAATGAATTTGAGATGAAGTTTCAGCCCAGATGAGTTGTTATTACCTTTGATTTCCTGGTCTCTGTGGGCTTGTCAGTAATGTTTTGCCAGGCTGGTTGCTTTTAAATATATATCAGAGCTGACACAAGAGGCAGCAACATCTCAGCGGTGTATTATTTACCCAGGAGTATATGGTGTAAACTGTAATAGAAATATATCATTACATATACATTAAAGTGCAATTTGTTTTGATGCTCCTGTAGTTTTCTTGCAAATAACACTTATCAGTTGGAGGAGGAATGAGATCCATCTGAGCTTAGACACATTGCAGTGACTTCTGAGGAAGTCAGACTGTTTGTTCTCACCAGGAAACGCTGATCCTCGGGCTGGGCAGTCGTCTGCAAAATTCATTTTTGTCAGCTAGCTTTGGCTCTCTTCAGTTTGCATGAGACCCAAACAGTGCCTGGTGCTGTGACTTACTTAAGCATCTAAAAATGGTGTTGGAAATGCTGTGTGGGGACCGAAAGCAGAGACCTTGTGCTCTGCTCTGCTGCTGTTTTGCTGCAGAGGACCCCAGTGCTACCAGGGCTAGATCAAGTTTAGTCAAGCCCCAGTATGCCTTTGTGCAGAGCCTTTCTTAATTCTTGGCCCTCGCGTAGTCACCTTGTAAGAGCCAACATGGAGACTGGGAGAAAGAAGCAAACAACTTTTAAGGAGGCCTCAAGCCATGAGTTATGAGTTTCTATAAGACATTAACATAAGTGTTGCAAGGAGCTGGAGTAGAATGTGTTTCAGTGGTCATAAGGAGGCTGTTGTGTTCACAGACAAAAAGCAAAAAATCCATTTATCTTACTATCCAGCCCACGAGTACGTAATCACCTGCTACACCACAGTGGCTGGTGGTAGAAACAGGTGGCACAGCATGAGCTGGGAGTGCGATGTCTGCCATGCAGCATCGTTGTGTCCGTGTGTATAGTCCAGGAGTTCTACTTAGGATTTACCCCTCTGCAGTACAAGTGATGTTGCTGTGCTACTAATGGGCACAAAGAAGCAGGAATTAGCTCAGGGGTACCCAGAGGTGGTCTTCAGCGTGCCTTCGTGCAGCTGCTTTTCCCCGCTGGCTGCCAACTGGGGCTGTACTGACCCTTGGAAGAGAAGAGCTGTTGCTGTTGAGCTGAAAACAGCAGCAGTGGTAAGTGGTACTCAGAGGATGCCAAATTGAAGTGGGAGCATGAAGAAGTCAGATTTGGCTGCTTAGTGGCCTAAGTAAATGGGATGAGAGTTGGCAGTGTCTAGTTCAGAAAACTGCACGCCACCATTAGAGTAAACAACCTCCTAATCAGGAGGTGTGCTACAGTGTGATTACCCAGCAGGTCACGTCTGGGAACTCAGTGGCCAAATGTTTAAAGGCATTATCGACTCATAAGGATACAGAGGAGCACCAAATGGCAATTTCAGAAGTGACTCTTATTACTTGAATTGCAATAAAATCCATGGGAATCAGACAGTGAAATACTTCTTAGTGTCTCCCTGAGAAAACTCTGCAAGGTACCTGTTTTTATCAATAGGTGCCCACATGCCTCTTATAAACCTGGCTGTCAGAGACGTCCCCTCCTGGATAAGGCTTAGCAATGGTGAGTAGCAGAGGTGGAAGAAGGATTAAGATGCAGATGGTGCAGTGTAATGCCTCTGTGGCTGCATTTGTGTGCCTGGTGCCACAGAAAGGTGGATCGCATGGGGACGTGCCATCAGAAAGGAAGTATGCAGCACTCAGACCTCCCAAAAGGTACCAAAGCAGAGAACAAGAAAATCAGAGCATGGTCTCGGATTCCCATTCCCCTTAGCAGATGAAGAGCAAAGAAGGACATGTTTAGTACCTTGTTCCTTAGATCACAGTAGCAAAAGTACAACCTGGCTCCAGGGCTAAATAAAGAAGGAAAACAAGCTACGCCCTGCTACCAGCTGTGATGGAGAAATGCCTGCTGTCTTCTCCGGCAGGATTATTAGGTTACCAGTAGCTGGGGACACCCACAAAAGACTGTAGGAATGGAAAGTGGAAAGGTAAACTTCCAACAAAGATAATGAAAAGTATGAAGAAATGGAAGATTTTTCTTTCACAAAATTCAGTCTCTTCAAAATATTATTGTAAATACTGTCTTATAATATGAGCTAATTAGTGATACATAAGAGAGATAACAGGACCTTGAAAGAGGAGGCTTAGAAAGCCTTTACCAACAGTGTCAGGGGCTGTAGTTTAAATGCAAACCTAGTGGACATTCAGATGCATAGTAGCAATCAGGCAGCCACCGAGAGAATTCATCAAGGAGCACAGAGGCGGATGAAGCTGCAGAGCAGAATACTGGTGTGAAAGTAAATGCCAAGATGTGAACAGAGGAGCTGAATTCAAGACAGTGGAAGGCCAGCGGGCCCTGTGAAGTAAAATCTGATGATGAAAAGTGGGGTCATAGGCAGACTGGCAAGTACACCAGCATGTCAAATCCTGCAGGGCAGAGCAGCTAAAGAAAAATGAGGACAATCAGGAAGCAGGCACCGATTTAGAGGTTGGATGCATATAACACTAGGCTGTGCAAAGTGTCAGAAGTGAACGGTTTGTAGGGTCCAGGCTGGCATCAGGTGCAGCAATATTACAGTAACAGGCCATAGGCAAGAAACTGAATGTCAAGTGGATAGAGAATCTACAGGACTATGGAGATTTCTCTGGGATTATTCAAAGGAGGAAAGCAACATTGTCATCTAGCAACACTGAATGACAATTACATGGTGTCTTAATCCCTAGGACTTTATCTTAGCACAAACATAACAGTGCATAGAAATGCAGAAGACGCAGAAGCCACCACTGTCAGTGTGAACAGGCAAATAGATGATGCTTGGATAACTACACTGCTCTCCAGGCTTGAGCTTATCTCACCGCAGAGTCGGGCTGGCTTAGCGCGGGGTGCCTGCAGTGGGCACTCCCGGCGGGATAGCAGCACCTCTGCAAACTCTGCCTTTGCTGAGGGGTGCGGAGAGAGGACCGTAGGAGCTAAGGAAGGGGTAGCGCATGTCTTACACTGCTGTCATCTGCTCTGCCTTTATGGTTGCGCCCTGGGGCTGTTCGCTCAGCTCTGGTTTTTCATGAGGTAAAATCAAAGTGTTTTGTTCTACCAGAAAAGGGTGGGGATCTATCTGTTTTTGGTTTTCTTAGAAGTAGTTTCGCTAGCTTAGAGCAGGCGCACACTAGTGGCACACCAGGAGGAAGTTTGAACCAGCCGATTTCTCACTCACTTCTTGGGTGAGGTAGTTGTCAGGTCTCTGCCCAGCATCTTCTGCAATCCCCAACCCCATTAACCAGCTCAAAATAACAGATGAGGGATCGTTCTCCAACTATCCCTATATTTTTGAGTGGGTTGGTTTTTGGTTTTTTTTTTTCCTGTAAGTTACTGTTATCTCCCTGACGTGACAGGCAGGATTAATAAAGCCTTAGTGCCAGAACTGGAAAGAATGCTTACTTTTACACATAGGGCTAAGAGCTGCCTGGAACCTTCCTTGTCTGAGCAAGCAGCCAGAAAGTGAGGGGAAATAATGAGAAAAAGGAGATGTACTTGTCATTACAACTCCATGATTGAGTGTAGATGTTGGTGAGAGAGGAGACAGCTTGCTGCTTGGTGCCAGAAGCTATGGAATCACAGAGCAGTGTCTTCATATTTTGCTGCATGATTTCTCAATGATGGTGTAATATACAGCAGAGCAATGTAGATTAGCAATGCAATATCAAGACATGACATTGTAGTAGTAATGTGGGCTTCTTTGGAATGAGGTGACCTTGAAATCCATAAATTTAAGTAGCAGTTTGTGTTTTGGTTGAATTCTGTGTCATTTGTAAGTGCAAAAAAATGTCCCTATGTTTCTGTTCCCAAAATAAATCAATATTTACTATTTGTTAGACAGCATTTGGAAACAGCAAAGCTGCACTGGAGGTCTGTGAACTGCCCAGAATCTTTATTGTTTGTAACAGGCTCTGTCTGAACCTGCAATTTCTGCATAAACTTTGGATCCTACTTTGTGGAGCCATTCTGCATACGGAAGTGCATGCAGCATTTGGTCAGACTTACTAAAAAAGTCTTTTGCTCAGGTAAACCATTACAAGTCCCATCAGCCCAGCTCTGCCCTGTCTTTGCGGCAAAGATCTGTTGCTACAAGCCTTCGTGTTACTTCAGGAGGTTTCCAGTCAGGATTCATTTTTTACATAGACGAATGGGGACTTTGGTGAGACAACTCAAAAGACTACACCCTACATACTTTTGCTGAGCATTATGCTTTGAAAAATGAATGACTGCATTCAGAATTGCCTTTCAACATTAATAGCTGGAAAAGATCTGCCCTGTTTCCTATGTGAGAGTGGGGATTTATTTACTGTGGTAAAAGCAGAGTGGACTCCCTACTTTCTCCGTTCAGAGGTACTCCTGTTTTGGGTTGTGTTGTCATCTTTTTCTTAAGGAGAAGAATATTCCTGATGATAAAAATAGTATACAGAGAGGAGACTGCATTTTGGAAATCGAATAGTATCTTCTTCTCCGTAGATCCATAACCATTATCCAAAAGAGTAAAAATTTTAAAACAAGCCTTTGAGGGGAAAAGGTTACCTTTGCCAGAGAAGGTACTATTGCAGAGATGTACATGTTGAGCTGATTTTACAAAGCAGTCAAGTAAGATCTGCATGCAAGGTACAACTAATTTTATTTGACAGGTACATGGAAATGCTGTTAATAACCTAATATCCCTTGCGTCAGAAATGTATTTTTGGAATGTGTAAGACTAAAAGATCTCTTTTTTTAATGCAGTATCGTGAAGTTAGAATGTCTGGGAATTGATAAAAGATGTAGTTTTTTTAATCTGTGCCTTCACCCTGTAGCATTTTAGGAAACTGTGTGCTTCGTCTTAATCCTCGTATGTTCTTCTTCGTGTATTTTCAGGATTCCTCTTCGATTGGAACAGCCACGGTGGCTGGTCCCAGGACGAGTGCAATAATTGGAGATCAGGGAACACCACCGAAGGTCCAGCTCCCCCTCAATATGTAAGCAGTTCATCTCAGTCACTGCATACTCTTTGTTTCCACTTGTGTGCACGTGTGTGCATGTGTTTAAATTCTGAAAGGAATCTCAGCTCAGGAGCATTCTGAGAAGAGAGAGACTGCAATTTCATACATGACCCAGCCTCTACTGAAACTGAAAATCGAGTAGAGAAAGGCAAGACTTCCCCCTTTCTCTGTGAGCCCTTTTAGACTCCTGGTATATTTATTACAGCTGTATGAATCACTGTGAAGCAAACGGAATGCCTCTCAGCTGGAGAAAATCTTCTTCCTTCATTTAAAGTTCTTCAAAAGGTGTAGTCTCATGCAATCAAACACATGATGCATTCATCATTAACCAGAAAAAATAACCCAATTGCATTTTTTCAGTGCCATAAACAAAGGCAATGAATGAACTTCTTATCATGGGTATATGGGCTTATTGATTAGTGTGTGGAATAACAGAAGGTTGACTAGATACAGAACAAAAAGAGTAGACTTCATTATAATAAATGTCTTCTAGCCTGGTACCTGTCTAGTTAATCTACTGAACCCTTTCCTCTTTTCACATACACCTTGTGAAAGCAGTGGAACTATGCAGACACACGCATACATATGCACACCAGTATTTTAGGGTTTTATGATATGGCTGAAAGAAGGTCTGAATTCACAAACAAAATCCTAAAATAACATAGCAAATCTGCTTTAAGGAGTATAGCGGAGTTGGAACAGAACCAAAACAAATTTGTTCTTGGCTACTAAGGTGAGATCTTCACACCTGAGAGGTACCACACATCACTGAGAGGTCTCATCATCACCCCATGGTCACCCTGCACAGCCTGTGTGGCACATAGTGGGTCACAAATTTATTAACGTTGCCCAGACTAGGAAGCAGTAACTGGCAGTGTTTCCAGTATTTAGTTGCTGAATCAGGACCTTTTCCAGCTCTCTAGCAATATCCCTGCCTCCATGCCTCAGAAAGCCTCTGCTTCTACCTCCCATGCTTCTGCTGTCATCTCCCCCATGAAGCAATCTCATAATCCAGTCTGTCATTCTGCATTTACAAGACAAGTTCCAGTCAAAGAGGAAGCATTATCTGAAAGCTGTAGCGAAACTGGGGAGGCACAGCCCTAGACAGAGCCCTAGGGCTTCTGCATTATAAGTAGAGACATAGGCAGCTCCCCAAGGCCAAGAACATGAGCTACCCTCTTGCTTAGGCCTTTTCTTAGGGAACACTTTTTAAAGAGTTTGGCTTCCTCTAGGTACTGCTCCCTAACCCTTAGCCCCACTGTTTCATGTAGTCCAGAATAATTTGCAATTACATTTTGTAAGATTTCAGATTATTATTTTAACAGTTTCTCCTCGGTTGTAGAGAGTTTGCTGATGAAGTTTCACACCTAAACTCTAGAGAACGGTGAAACATATCCAAGCCCAAAGGCTTTGGCTTAAGGCAAAATTAGTATCAGCAAATGGGGCGACTAGCCCTGATCCCTTGCCAGAGGAAAAGCCCAGAAATGCTTTTTTGGGAGGGAAGCTGCCTGCACTCCAGTTGTTTTCAGCCATGTGTGACAGTAGGTGTGCCGCCAACTCTCGGGCGTATGCCTCTCCCCATGGGGCGAGCACGCCAGGCATGGCCAGGCAGCCGACCCAGGCTGGGCCTGTCACTGGGTTTGGAGAAGCCCCTTCCTCTTTGCAGACTAGTAGAGGAAACCCCCAGGGATGGTCATCTCACTGCCCCACATAGGTGGTGGGATCACCGGTCAATGAAGAATCACCTCCATTGTCCCAGTGTCATGCTATGCGGTTATCACACGCAAGTTTTCATCAGTTTAGCGATACAGAGACCAGTCAGTTTTGGCGTGGAGTCCAGGCTGGTCTGATGTACACCTTATTTTAGTCTCTGCAAGGATTTTGATCCTCTCCAGAGGATGTTTAGGCTCATTGTGATACTGGCTATTCGGGCTTACTGGAGGCTGAGTTGGGAGAATTTACAGGGAGGAACAGAAAGAAACTAGTAGGAGAGCTGGAGACAGCTGCAAGGGAAAGAAGCCTGTGGTCCACTTAGGGTAATTTTCCCTGCACCTTCTTCCAGCATCTCAGCCTGTAAATTACGTTATCATATGTAGTCCCTTGGGGAATGGGCTAAGTAAGCCTATCTAAAATGCTCTGTCCTTGAACTCCCGCTTAACCTATACCTTCTGAATGTGAGCCCTCTGTAAGCAGCAACTTAGAAAGAGGTAGTCAATGCCACACTTTCTGCTCCCCTGAGTGAATGCAGTCTTGGCACTTTCCGTTACGTCCTAGCAGAGCACTGTGTTGAAGGATTAGCACTGAAGCATGCAACCTTATTTCATGTCAGGGTGATGCATTTTAGTGTTCTTCAGTTCATACATAGCCTCATGTTCTCCATGAGGTGAACAGCTACAGACCTGCTCAGGGTCACCTGTTTATATAGGCTAAACAAAGGATGTGCAGGATGGTTTCTCCCATCTGTTGACTAATGAAATACAGTTTCTGATTAGGTCTTTGTACCCCATGCACGTGGTAAACAGAGCCAGGCGCATCAGCCCAAGGATGCCCCAAGGAGCTGTTACCAAATATTTCATATTCTGCTCATTACTGCTGTTTATTTACTGCCTTCAGAATAAAAATAAGGAAATCTACTGGTACCATAAAGGAGTAGAATCAGGAAAACTAACAGGATTTATTCCTCAATTATATTTCCTGGAGAGCAGAAGTAAAAAGCCATGTATCATTTTTATTGGCTGCAAGTCTACAATCACAATGGTTATAGTTTTTATTATTTCTCTGGTTTGCTGCTGTAAGGTGGGCAGCAAGCCTCTTCTCACCTACCTCTGAGCCTAAGAGCATTCTGCTGCACTTTGTAGTGTAAATGTACTTTCCATAAGTTTTTCCCCATTTGCCCTAATCTCTCTGCACTGTCAGTAAGGCACAAAGAGCAAAAAACTCAAGAAGGCACAGCCTTAATCAAGAATTACCAGAAATCCCTTTTTGCACTTGTAGAAAGGTGACAATACCAAAATAAAATTTCTGTTTGCAAAGAAGTGTTGTTCTGTGTGTGCATTCTTGCTATCCTATACCAACTTTCCATTATTCCCCTAAGTGCAAGCAATCATTCTTAATTTTCAACAAGGATCTCTCTAAACAGAGGCAATACCTTTAGGGACTTTAAGTTGTAGTCATTTCACAACACTAGACACATCCCTGAAGTAGTAACGGAAGAACGAAAGAGAGATAAAAAGAAAGATTCTAAACAAAGGGCATAAATAAAAGCTGTAATTAAATAAATAAGAAGTTCTACATATTGGGTCCTGGATTATAGATTTATTGGAACACTTGCATACAAAACATCCAAAGCCAAATTCTACCCCTTTTTTTACTTAAACAAAAATCCCCTTGCAGAATTTGGCCCTCTGTCACTTTTTGTTTTACTGACGTAATACAAGAATTACCATACTGAATCAGAACAGTTTGATGTGTTGTTTCTAAAACTGGCCAACATAAATGACATCAAGAAAGCTGCAAGAAAAGCTGCCTTAAATTTTTATAGAGTAGTCTACCCGTAAGAAAAGTTTTCCTGAAAATAAATAGTAAAGGCGGCTCTGACCCTGAAGCATATGAATGTATACTTCATCCAGATGTTAGATTTTGAAACGCCTTCCCATGCAAGTCCTGGTTACTCTGGCTGTCTCTGTAATTGCCTTGCCCTTCTGAAATTGCTGCTAAATTTTTAACTTCAGCACTGCTTTGTGGCAGTGTTTTGCTTTGGTTGTGCCCTGGGCAAGAAGTATGTCCTATTAATTTCTAAATTACCCCCTGACTTTAATCTGATTAGTTATTCCTGTATTGTCTTAGCATCCACTTGATCTTGTCTCTGCCATTCCTTGTTTGGTGTGCTGTAGTGATGTCCCTTTTTAACCACCATTTCTGAGCAGCGTTTCTGTTCACTTTCTGCTCTGCGGGGCTGGAGTCAAAGCGGGACAGGTGGTGGTTGACGTCAGCTGTGTGCTTTCTTCTTGTGTGACCTCTCCCCGCAGCTACCTAGCCCTGTACGCCTACAAGCCTCAGAAGAATGATGAGCTGGAGCTCCGCAAAGGTGAGATGTACCGGGTCATTGAGAAGTGCCAGGATGGCTGGTTCAAGGGGACGTCGCTGAGGAGTGGGATGTCTGGCGTCTTCCCAGGCAACTACGTGACGCCTGTTTCAAGGTGAGGACCGCTGGCCAAGGCAGATATGCCTGAGCTGGGGCTGAGAGGGATTCTGCATCTGGAGGGTGCTGAAAACAACGTAGCTCTGCTTTGAAATCACATTCCCCTTGCAGAAATTGTCTGGTGGCGTTGCAGACTTGGGTAATGAAACTTGCTGTATGTAGCATTGGAGTTATCTATGTTCTCAGAAGACTTCACTAGTTGTGTTAGATGATGACATTTACAACTTCTGACTTCACATAGTCTGATGAGCCCAGGTTTTACTATTGTAATGGATCTGTTGGCTAAGGATTTTTTTATTGTTATAAAACTACTGGTCATGTAATGGGGATAAATAAAATAAGGAATGCTTGTGTCTTGCTTTTCAGTAGCTCCTCATGTAGATTTTGTTTTTCTTAAATCAAAGGTCTTGGATCATTTGAATCAAGACAAATGTTTGAACTGTTAAATTCAGAAACAGTAGGAAAGTTCAGTGAATTGTCTGATTTTAGCTACCTGTGTCTTAGTTGCAGAAGAGGAGAAAAGGAAAGAACAGCATGTTTGCAGAGGAATGCCATTTATCAGAGTTCAGTATTGGACAACACCAAATCAAAGGATGTTTCTGAGCTAGAGTCCAGTCTGAAAGAGTCCGCAAGCTGAGGAGAAAGTTCATCAGTGTGTCCTAGACTGTTTTGGCCCATGTGCTCCTTGCAGGTGGATGTTGCCGTGTGTGCGCCCATATCTGCTGTAGAGCAACCATGCGTTTGCAGGTTGAACTCACCCACCTCACACGCTCTCAGTCTCTCCTCCCACATGCACGCAGTCTCCACCATCTTTCACCCCTCTCCAGAGAAAGGCACCTCACAACTCAGACACTGTTGCTCTTGCAAAATTTATCCCCGTTTGTGCCATCTTCAGTGTATGTCAAGTTTGTAGTGTGCGGACTGAGCAAGACCAAAAGTTAAGAGCAGATTAGAAGATGATAACTAAGCCTGCTGACAGTCCTAATATTGCATTTCAGTCAAAAAACCCACATTAATTCATGGGGTCTTCACTGTTCATTAACGTAAATGTGTTTACCTGATTTTATGGAGCCCCTTGGCTGCCTTCACTCCTTGCCTTTTCAGTTCTTAATTAGTAAAGAAGTTTCTGCTGAAGTGTTGGTGATCTGAATCAGCAAGACTTTATTAAATGCAGCATGTCACAGCTAGAACAAGACAGAGAGAAGTGCTAAAGGGCAAAAGTGCTTTCCACAAAACTCAAAAGCAGCTTTCTGATTGTATTTATGAACCTGTGAGCTAATTAAGTCCCTGTGTAAATCACCCTAGGTGAACGGGAACATTGGAGCAAGAAAAATCCAAGAGCAACAAAATCTCCTATTTGCTTCACTTTCAACTCACTTTGTTCCCCTTTGACAGCAAAGCAGAGGATTAGCTCCATACATGTTTTTCTGCCACTCCCTACAAAACCCAAGAAAAAGAAGGTGCCCATGAATTTAATAACACTGAATTAGATTTACAAGCTGCCAAAGCACATGTGTGAGCAGAGCATGGTGGAAAAAGGACAAGACCCTTCGGAGGGAGAGACAGGCACAGGGCAGCAGAGGAAATTTGCCACATCCATCGTCTGTCCAGCTCTGTAGGAGTCGCAGGTAGTTTCTGTACCTGCCGGTGTGCACATTTGCCTGAACGCAGCTCTCAGTGGGCCATTAGGTGTGCTTTTCTGGCAAACTCAATCTAGTGCAGATGGCCAAGCCAGCTCCAGCTGAACCTTGCTGCTACCCTGCCAGCTCTTCACAGCAGAAGACAGTCAAGATTTCCATCTGGTGGGATTCCCAGTTTTTCCCTACCTGGAGGCAGATGAAAAAAACTGAAGGGAAAAAAAAAAAAAAGCAAACTAGATTCATTTAACAAAATGTAATCCAGGCAAACCTTGTACGGTGAGATAAGGATTTTGTGACACCACAGTGCTGTTTCTCCTCCTGTGATTTTTGGGGGAGCCAGGATTGGGCAGAGGGGGTGGCTATCTGTTGCACTTTTGGACCATATCTTCTAGCCTGTGTTTTGATCTTTTTCTATCAGAGTTTCACTCTTTTGGCTCTTCCCCTTTCCACTCTTATCTTTGGGTTATTTCTTCTGTCTTTTTTGTCCTCTGAATTGGGCCAGATTGTTCAGCATAGTTCTTCCTTCTACTCTTCTCCTCTCTGTGTTCCCACACAACGATTTTGGGCCCCAGAAGTTCTCCCAGTCCCACCTACCATAGGTTGATCTTGTACCCGTACTGTTATCCTGTCCTCCCTTTCAAACCCCTGCATTGTCTCATTTCCATTTCCTCCACCATGCTTTGTTCTGCATGATATCCCCACTGCTGTCCTTTCCTGGAGGAGGACCTTGGCAGATGGAGCAGCCCAGGAGAGTACAGCGCAGAATGATCCCTCTGTTTCATGGCATCTACTACGGGGGAAGGAAATTACTCAGGAACCTGAGTAAGAAACTCAAAGAGCAAGCTGCTGAGGAGCAGTTGAGTGTGTCCATTGGTGTCCTGCCTTCCTCCTCAGTGTCCACCTGTGCTGGTCAGAGAGTTTCTAGCTAGGTAAGAGGACCAAAACTTGCTCTGGGCTGAACTCATTGCATGGGAGAAAGAACCTCGTTCCTTCCCTCTGAGGTCCAGCCACTCAGATGAAACACAAACTGTGCATACAGTTTAAGTGAGCAGTGAAAGGGGGGTCAATTATTGTTTGGATCTCCTTTTCAGTTAAGTCAGATGCAGTCCCTTACCTTTTGCATTTCCTTAGCAAGTCTAAACTAGGGCTGGTTACATCAGTAGGGTAAGTGTTCAGCCAAGCCAAGCCCTGCCAAGCCTGCTGCTTTTCAGTCCCCTTCAAGAGCCACGCATAGATTTGGTGTTATCCATCTTTTTCTCTCCCTGTGGGGCTGTATGCAGGTTTGGTCCTAAAAAAAGGTCTCTGAGTCTGTTTTAATTAGCACTCCATTAGTGCCTGTAAAATAGCCTCTGGCACACGAAATGACATTTGGGAGATATCCATTTCTTCTGAATTTAGATTTGTGATTTTACTAGAAACTATTTAGACAGAAATGTAGCTTCAGAAAAAAAGTGATGAAAAAAATTACCTTGTCCATTTTTACCCTGCACTTCTTCCTACAGGATAAAGGGATGAAAATGTCCTCCAGCATGCTTACGACTATGTCCTATAAATATGTATCCATATGTCGGTTTACTTTAACACCTTGAACGACCTAAGTAACTGGATGTGCCTATCGGCATTGTGGCTGGGTCGCGGGGTCTCTGCCGCATGCTTATGCTGTGCCTTATCTCCGTGCAGGGTGCCGGTGGGAGCTGGGCAGCCCAGGAACAGCGGAGCCGGGGGAGCTCCGGCAACGAAAGGAGCCCCAGGAGCCATCCACCCCATCGGGGCCAGTCACACCAACGCCGCCACGGCTGTCAGACCAGTTGTTCCTATCACTGCGCCTCAGACGCATCCCCAGCTACAGGCGGCCTCTCCGCAGCTGAATAACTGCTTGAGGTATTCAGCTCAGCAGCCGGGCAGCCAGACCCGCGCCGCCATGCAGATGGGTACGTGCCTTTCGCCCTGGGCCGGCAGGATTGATGCCGTACCCCTCGAGCCCAAACCTCTCCAATCTGCCCGTCCCCGCAGCTTGCTTTCTTGTTTTAGTCACAGCTCGGTCAATGCGGAATAGAGTAGGTTTTATTTGCTTGTAATATTTATGGGCTTCTATTGATCTCTGGGAACCACGTTGTGTTTATCAGATTGTTCTGTTGCTACAGCTGAAATAGATTATAGTGTTTACAAATATTTATACAATTTATCTGAGTGAAAGCAAGCACCCTGCATACTGAGGAGATTAACAGTTGTGAGTCCAGTTGGCTCGCTGACGGAAAAATACTGCCCTTATCGCAGAGCAAGTAATACACAACTTAAAATTAAGAAGCATTTCATTGGGCTTCGGGGATGAAAGGTATTTATTAGGCAGAACGGGACCCGGTGTTAGTGATAAAGCAAAAGATCAGAAAAATACTGCCACCTTTTTGAAAGGAGAATAAGCGCTTCTCACACCAGGGGGCCTCTGTTCTTTCTAAGTTCCCTTTCTGATGTACAGCACAATTTTCTAGAGTACAATTTATTCCCCTTTTCCTGATGTTAAAACAGCTCTGATGTTGAATAAAGTAAAAGTAAATCCTGTGGTGGAACTTTACAGCAAAATTTAAAACATTTTGTTTCTTATATTTTATAGGGATGTGAGCCATTGTGATTACAAAGGCAGATCAGTAAGGACTAGGACTGCTGGAAACTGAGGTCTTAGATACAAAACAGGGCAGGCACAAATGAGAAATACACTGTGGTCTGAGTCATGGATTCATACCTTTTGAAGCCAGAAGGCACCATTATGACCATCTAATCTCACCTCCTACGCAGTCCAGACCAAAAGGAAGAAAATGTAATCAAATACATGTGTATCTGAATCTCGCACAACGCAGACTCCTCTGCTCAACAGTGGCAGGACTTCACACAGCATCCATGTCACACAGGGGAATAATCAGTTTATCCTCTTTTTGTCTAGTTCAGAAAGTGCTGCTTCCCCCTCAAGTCACACCCTTCTAAAAGCTCTTCTCCCACAGCGCAAAGGCAGAAATGTCCCCTCTTGGGCAAGGCCCTCAGGAAGCGTTCATTCGGGTGCTCCTGGTGCCTCATGTGCCCATGCCACCAGGCAGACGGACTCTCCTGAAACAGGTGGCAGATCATTCTGCCCCACACACCTGGAATGCCCCACACCTTTCTTCCACGGCACTGCTATGCTACACCTCCAGCAGCTTCTTTGATTGAAGATTGCTCCTCCAGGTCACTCTGACATCTTAACATGCCAAGGAGTTGGCAGGCAGGGTGATGCAGGGACCACAGCGCTGCTCCAAAACCTCATAAGCAGAGAGTTCTCCAGCCCTTCCAGAAGGTTCATGAGATTGTTGATTTAATAAACCTTTGCAAGGATAAAGGAATTTTTTCATAGTTATCAGTATTTTTCTCCATAATGGATGTCCTCACCAGTATCCTGTGGACCAGATCCCCTCGAAAGGTCTCTTTAGTCCTACAGGCCAGGGCAACGCACAATGACTTTTTGGAAAAGCCTTCCAAGAGAGGCAAGCTGGCACAGTATTCAAATCACGTTTCTGTTGGCTTGCAATATACATGAGTAACAAATCAATTTTGCACAAGGCCACTAATGTAGGAATACACCCTAAATGAAATATGAGTGGTGTAGAACAAAAATAGCCTTCAGTGAGCATTGCTAATTAATAGCATGTTTGATGCAGCACAGTCCAGATCCAGAGATCCCTGAGCAAAGGCATACATTGTAACAGTAAGCAGATGAAATTACAGGATAAAATGTGAGAGCTCTGCTCAGAGTTGATTTTTCTCAGGCCATTTGTTTTACTGTTTCTCATGTTTTCTGTTTCCTTTGTGTCTGGAAGCACCGAATCCTATATGAAAGAAGTGAGGTACCTAATATGATTATCAAATCAGTTTTCTGCATCCAGGTACATGCAGTGAAATTCCATTATTGTGCTTTTCCTCTAAATTTAGGAAAGCCATTGCTCCCTACAACCAGCAGTTCAAAAGCTTGACTCTGCAAGCTTAACCATCCTGGAAAATTAGATTTCTGGCAGGAGTGGTTGCTCATCACATAGGTTCCAAAATGGGAAAATCAGAAGGAGGGAATCACTTCAAGATAACCAGCGATGCCTTGTCTGGCTCTCTGGAAAGGAATTTCACTTTCTAATATAGTTCTTGGTAATCCAGGCACGGGGAAATGGCAATTAATAGTAAGAATAGTCTTGAAGGTGTCTGTAATAAAAACTTTTAGACCCTTCATCGTGCTGCATGGTAAAATCACATCAAGTTCAAGACTGGTTAATGATAGTTTGGTTGATTTGCTATGAGCAACATTAATAAAAAGAGATATTATTGAGTCAAGGAGTTACTGTGGGAGGGACAATCATGTAGACTTTGGAGGTGCTAATCTGATGATCACTGCCCCATCATGTTCAATATCACTTTGGATAACAGGGCATAAGGCTGGGGGATGAATTTCCCTCCTGGCAAGAATGCTCAGCTGCTGTAGGGAGTATGATTCATGGCACTGCTTATTGTTTCAGTCCCTGGTAATGGGTGCTGCTGTTAACCATAGAAACAGAAAACAGTGGTTTGAGTTGTTATAGCATTGTTGTTTAGTTATAGATTGATTTTCACATCCCAGGTGAATGCTTTGACCGGAATAGAAGCTATTGTGGGGTGGGTGAGTGGGTTGTGCTCAGAAAAATGTTCAAAGGTTAAAATTTTGCACTGAGGCAGAACTAAACCAGATTATGAAACCTTGAAATTGTTTGTGAAATAGGCATTTTCCAGCCAGTCCTACTATTGAATTGTTCAAGTGAGGGAATGTCTGAGTGTGGACTTGGCTTCTGGTCTGTATGTAGGTTCCACCTAAGCAATCAGCCAACCTGGAAGTCAAAGGCAACATCATTGTGGAAATGTACCTGGAGCCTTGTCACACTTTTTGCAACATGAGGCATGCCACAGGCTCCCGAATCCCTTGGAGAGCTGACCTCAGCAGTGCGTCATGGTCACCATTAAACAGACAAGCGCTAATTCACGGTTCCCCGTGCTTGTAGGCAGGGTCTGCTCAGCAGGGCCAGCAGGACTAAAAGGTATGGCGTACTCCCTTAGGGACTTTGCTGGCAGAGAGGAGGCTGAGTTCAGAAATCCTCTGGTGGGTTTCTGCTTAAGTTTTCTTGTGTAGCACAGTGCTGTGCTGTTGATCATTTTGTTAAGGCTGAAACAAGAGACCTTCCTTTGTAATCGCCGTCTGCAAGGTCAGCTGGGATCATCTGGGCTAACCCTTGAGGTCCCATGCTGTGTTGTTCCAGAACCTATCAGGTTAAGAGGGGAGCCTGAAGGTTTGGAAAACAGCTTGGCTGGAACGAGATAAGGTATTTTAAAAACACAGTAGGCTTGCTGTTGATTTCCAAGCATGGGCAGGGATGGTCAGGCCATTGCCCTGTCACATCACCAGCGAGGACTGGCCATTTTGCTGACTGCAGACAGGACTTTTGCAACCATGAGGGGCATTTCTAGGATTTAGCCGTAAACACTTGCAGGCCAAGATATCCTGGGGTAAGGTTAAGAGCTCAACTCTCCGTCGGGCCTTGGCGCCTCGTGACAGTGATGGCCACTGAAGGGCCAGGTCTGGCAGGCTGCCCAGGGCAGTGGTGGAGTCACCATCCCTGGAGGTGTTCAAAAAACGTGTAGACATGGCACTTCGGGACAAGGTTTAGCAGGTGTGGTGGGTTGACGGTTGGACTTCATGATCTTGCAGTCTTTTCCAGCCTTAGTGATTCCATGATTCTATGGGGGGCTTAACTGTGCTCTGTCCTCCCTCTGCAGCTCACCCCCCGGTGCCAGCCCCGGACCGCCCCACCGCCA